CCATCTAATTCCACTTTTTTACTGGATTTAGACTGAGAAACTCACTTTGCTTCAGGTTTTTGATAAAGGCTGATCGTCCTTCTACAAGATTCCAAGTTCTGGAAGACAAGAATAGATAACGTGCATTCTGGTTAAAAACAGCACAGTGAAACTGAAGTCCTCTCTGCTGACATGAGGCATCCAAAGGAAGCTTTTAAGCACCTCTGTGCATTTTACTGCCTTCTTAATGCAAGAGAAAATGATGACTTCATATATCACTTCACACTCTAAGGCTGGATTGGTGATATTTATTTTATAAACCACCGTTTGCAAGGCAGAGCCCAAAAAGAGCCCAATATCAATTTATGTTGTTAAAATAGGATTTTATATATTTAAAACACGTGTATACAGCTACATGTACACACTCCAAGTGAAAAATTACTTTTCTCACACTAAACAAAACCTGACAGCTTTCAGAAGTTTAAATAAATTGTGTTCCAAAATGGAAACGTATTTATACATCTACAAGTGACTATAAAGAGTCAGAGCGCAACAAGAAGCTAGGAACAGCAAGGGCTATTTTTAAAAGACTTTAAAATTTTGCTGGTACCTAGAACTTAAAAAGACAAACCAATGGAACTTTGAACCATTTGATGTCCAAATATGTTTTATCAGTGTTGCACGGTCTAGTCCCAACATGCAATTGTTGCTTGTAACAATTTACTAAGAGTTATTGAGTTACGATTCTCAGCATTCCTTCACCAGTTTCAACTCACCTTAATGTTTTATCTGTTCCTACTGACAAAGCTAGTTTCCCAGAAGGATGAATAGAAAGAGATGTCACGTGCCCCCTGATAAAAAAAGACAATGTATTAGCCACATATATTATTTACAAGGAAAATAAACATGGAAACGTACGTGAATATGCACATTTAAGAAACGCACTTATGTGCCTTAATGGATTTCAGGCATTCCCATCTCTTTGTGTTCCAGATACAAATTATTCCATCTTCAGCCCCACTCAGTAGATGCGCAGCACCATAGAACTCCAAGCAAGTTACTGTGCCTAGAAATACAAACCAGAGCTATTAACGATGTTGCATGTACTGAACAGTTATCGGTTAACAGTTAGAGAACGTACGAATTAACAGAGAAGCTTCTAGCATCAAAACATGCCAGCTACTACCCTACCCTGGGAAAATCTGAATTATTTCCTAAGTATTTCTTCACAAACCCCCCAAACTTTCTTGTTACATTCCATCACTGATGTGCTCTATCAGCCCCCCTATAACCACACATGTCTGAACTCCATCTGTCCCATTCTCTGAAACGGCAGTACTCAACCACTGCCCTGCAGGTGACACAGAGCTTCTATTAGTGACAAGGAATGCTCCTGTGTCAAAGCCCTGCTCTTGACACACAGCGGAATTCACCGTGTATTTGTGGGTTACTATGCAAAATAATTTGGGGATTTTTATCCTCAAAAGCTTACCTTGCCTGTATGGCTAGACCGCCATGGCTGCGACACCATCACTATTAAAGACTTATGAAAAAAAGATTTCAATTTTCTTTTTCTGGCAAGGGCCCGTTTATTCACCTATAAGTTTCTATCATTAATGCTTTTTATGAAGAAAAGCCGCCTTACCGTTGTGCTGCAGGAGTGCCCCATGTTCTGCCTTCTTTTTCATGTCATAGATTTGGATTGTCTCATCTCTGCTCCCAGTAACCACGTATCTGTTATTCACTGCTACCGCTGACAGTGAGGCAGAGTGGGCATGATGTGTAAAATCAGGGACAATCACCCAGGGCTGTAAATGAAATACAAAATAAACAGGTCTTTCTAAAGCTTGCCATAGCGAGCACCAACTTCACTATCCTCTAGGTTTTCCTTTTTTTTTTTTTTAAAGCAAAACCTGAAAAAGTGTATGTGTAAAATTGCACAGGAATTATACTTAGCTATAATAGGATCTTATTGAGTTAATGTGCTGTTAGGAGATTAGTCGGAACGATTTAAGTGTGCAAACCGCCTCCTGTAATCCAGTGTTGGGCTGAGCTGAAGCCGTACGTGGAAAAAGTATCCGCGCAGGGATAAATCCCATGGCCAAGGAAGGTGGGTTCTCCTTTTTCCCACCACTGCAGGCTGGAGACACGGCTTCCCCCGGCACCCCCCGAGGCAACGCGGGACCCATCCCCTGCGCGGAAAGGCTGAGAGGA